CATTTCACAGGATAAACAGATTGTGGAGTGATCTCACCCACATGTTGATATAATGCTGGAGAGTTTGCCATCTGGAATTTCAAATACTAGCAATGTCACTTATGGTGAATAGATAGAATTCAAAGGCTTTCATGGTAAGACAGACTAGGAAGAAGAATGAAATGATCTTTATTTCTGCCTTAAAAACGCAAGCCTTAAATGGCAATGTTGAAATATTCTAAGAATAAAATAATGAACAATACAGGATGCAGCAAAAGAAGACAGAAAAAACAAGCAGGGTCACATTTGCAAATGAATTAGTCAATGTTCAGCCATTTCAGGGATAACACGTGATCAAGAATGGCTGGGTTTGAAGGAAGACATTGAATCTGCTCCAAAGAAAAGCATTGGTGAAAAATAAGACTCCAAGAATTGATGGAATACTAATTAAAATATTTCAATAAACAAATGCAGTCCTGTAGACTCTCACTCATCTGAAAAAAATTTGGAAGTCAGGTACCAGACCAACTGGCTTGTAGAACCTTGTACCAAGTCAAAAGGAAAGTGATCCTAACACAATATGGAAGTGGTCAAATATTGTCATTCATATCACAAAGAAGTAAAATTTGGCTGAAGATAATTAAAACTGGTAATGCAGAGGATGACAGGTGACCACAAGATAATAAGAGGCCCAAACAGTCAGAGGAAAGTAGTTCAAATCCTCAAAAAGCATGAACAAATACATATCTGGGTAATAGAGTCTGCATCAATAATAACTTATTATGAATGTGCAGAAGAAACTTTGGAGAGTAGTGAGGTGCAGCATTCTGCAGAAAAGAGATTGGAGAAGATGAAGGACATGGAAATGTGAAGATGGGAGTCAGTAATAAAGAACAGGATAATGAAAAGATTATCTTTGAACGTGACCAGGCATGGAAATGAGCAGCCAAATTGTTTCCTTGCACCTGACAGTTAGGTAATGCAGTGTCAATGTGAGACTATTAAGAATGAAGGGTGGACTGCATTTGGAGGCATGACAAAGATAAAAAGCTCACTGGAGGGGGGACACTCTCACTGCTTTGTACTCCTGAAGAAAAGCCACATGGAGCTACTCTGATGGAGCCAGAGCCCTGGAGCTGGAGGAACCACCTGGAGACCCACACCAGCACTAGGATGATTCCACTGCCACAGGATGCAAAAGACTTTCAATCAATGGGCCTGTGATCTTCCTACATTGAGCATCATTGCATGACTGCATTAGTCTAATGAGAAATTTACGGACTAGGATCAAGATGTGAGGTAATATCACACTTATGGACTTGATCAGGACTGGCCTGGGATGTTTTCTTAATGTACAATTGCTCTCTGATATAAAGTTCTCTCTTACACATATATGAGTTTCTATAAATTTGTTTCCCTAGTCAACCCGGACTAGCACATTATGGTACCTTGGGAGTGGGGTGCTGGAGAAACAAATCGTAAAGATGGAGAATGGATGCTTCCTTGAAATCCGCCTCATGGTAGTTTTTCTTTGGCTACTCAGAGGTGAGATATAGCCATGGAGTTTACTGGGTTGTTTTATGGAAAGAATATGGGAATTTTAAGTTTTCTTTCTGGAAATGTCCTTTGGTTTATTGTGTCTGAAATGGTGAGAATTATTGTGATAAATGTAAGTTTTGAGCTCAAGTGGCAAAATCGCTTCTTGAATTTCTCCAAGACCAGGCTGCTTAGTGAAAATGGTTGACTGAAGTCAAAATAGCTGGCAGAAGGTCCTGACCTGGCTTGAGGCAATGCAGACAGAGGTCTAAGGCTATATGGGATAAGTTAAGATAAGGATAGAATTTGAATGTTTTAAGATTGAGTTTAGGATCTGGCTCTACTAGTGAGGTAGTTACTTTATTGGGCCAAAGTGGCCAAAAAACACATGTGGGGTTAATTGAAGGGCAGAGAGATAAATGGCTCAGTGAGCTTCACCTTTCTAGTTCTTGGGTCTCTTGCTTTGTGATGGTCGGACCAGGGTGCAGCTGCCTTAGCCAGTTCCCTGCTTTAGCTTTCAAGGCTTACTTCCTGCAAGACATCCCTAAGGAGAATCCTCATGGACCTACCCCGATGCAGCCCTGGGTGCTGAAGCACCCGTGTGGAGACCCCTGGCAGTGCTGAGATGCTTACACATTCACGACTCTGCTTTCCTCCTGCAGTCGGCATCATAGGGTGTGTTTTGTGAGATGGAGGAGGTCTTTGTGGATTGGTGTTGGACATATGGGTTAATGGATTAATGTTGGACTTGTGGGCTTGGGCAGCACTGGGTTGGGATGCTTTCTTGATGTGCACTTAAACTTTATATAAAACTCTCTTTTATGCTTAAGTTTCTGTGGATTTGTTTCTCTAAAGTACCCAGACTAATACAACTAGGTTTATACTCTTTTCTTCTGCCTATTGCTTTAATAATTGATAGAAATGATTTGGGGGAAGTAAGAATAGAGGGTTTGGAAGAATACTTGCCTTCAGCCATTAAATTGAAATTCAAATGGATTCAAGACAAGACTGCAACGAAGGTCCTAAAAGGATAAGCCCCACCCAGTGTCTTGAGTGTTCAGGACATTCAAGGGTGAAGAATTTTACCCAGGAGGCTGTTGACAAATTGGGGGAGGGAGGAGAGCAACTCTGCCATTTTGTATTTCAAACTAGTGGTTTGTGCCTAAGGCTGGAATAATTTGGAACATGGAAGGAACTCTCCACTTTAGGACTGAACTGTTAAAGGAAGCCAGTGGGCAGGATGAAATGCTTGGTAGGTTACCAGCTGGATCCACTTGTTGAGTGCAAGTGAGAGAAATGCAGCAATAAAGAGATGGGTTGAGTCTTGCCACTGACACCTGTGGACATGGTTCATAGGCACTAAAGGAGAAAATGAGAGCAGGTTGACTGGTCTAAAGTTCATGCCCTAGCACAAGAGAGCTAGGGTTGTTGAATATTTGTGATGGGGCCCATGGTTTATAGGCAAGGCAGCCAATGTGGCACCTTGTTGGGGCAATGTGAGGCAGCCCACATTGAGTTAACCAGAACCCGACAAGAGGAAGAGAAAATGTTTGAGCCTGTGAACTGGTGCATATTGCGGCTGACTTTATCGATGGCCTGTTCATATTTGACTTTGCTTATGGATGCTGAGGTCACAAGGTTACAACTTGAAGTCAGAGTCCTCACATCAAAGATTAGGATTGTCTCCTCAGAGCACTGGGTTGATAAAAGACAGCAGTACAGAAATTGGATACCCAAAATGGGGGGATAAAGGCATGAAGTGGTTGGCTTAAAACTTTCATAGGTGAGGGAGTAGGTTCATAGGATTATGATGTAAGTGGTCACATAAGTATAGAATGTTTTTGTTTGGTTCACCTGTAGAATGATATGTTTAAATGAGGGTGACACATGTTTCAATTGTATGCATTTTAGTTTTATCCTGTTAGATACAGATATGATTGTATTATTGTTAGAAAATTATATTTGGCCAAAGAGTTGTGTGAAAGTATACAGGTGACAAGGGGTGGTCTCTGGTAGTTACATAAACTGGTGTCAACTTGAGACTATTAAGAGTTAGGGGTGGACTTTAGCATATCAATCAAGTCACAGCTTGATGACCTCATGTAGAGGCATAGAGAAGATAAATAACTCACTGAAGGTGGGACACTCTCTCTCTCTCTGCTTCACAGTCCTTATGACAAGCCACAGGGAGCTACTCTGGTGGAGCCAGAGCCCTGGAGCTGGAGGAGCCATAAGGAAACCCACACCAGCACTGAGATGCTTCCACTGCCACTGGATCCACAGACTTTCCATCCATGGGCCTGTGATCTTCCAGCTTTGAGCATCATTGCAGGATTGCATGAGGCAAAAGAGGAATTTATGAACTGGGGTCAACATATAGGGTAATATTGGACTTTTGGACTTCATCGGGACAGGGCTGGGATGTTTTCTTAATGTACAATTGCTCTTTGATATAAAGTTCTCTCTTACACACAGATAAGTATCTTATGAATTTGTTTCTCTAGTTAGCCAGGACTAACACACACTGGGAGCCCCATGAGGATAAATTCTGACATTTATGGGGGGGGGTTTCCTTCATGTTTCTATGTGGTTGATTAAAGTGCTAAAAAAGGGAGACCAAATCCACTGTAACAGGGTGAATTCTGAGGGTTGCGAAGATGGTAAACCTTCATATGAGCAGACTGCCTCATCCTTCTGGAAGGTTTGAACTGCTTATCTTGGGCCTAATTTCCTAACTCTTAACACACTGCACCACCAGGGTTTCTTAATATCACAATAAAATATCACATAAAATATTTCTAGACATTTAGTCGGTGTGTGCTATAAGGTTTAATACACTATCTGATATAGGCTAGAATGAAGCATCTTCACATGGCTAATTGACTGTTATTAGCAGCCCTCACGTTGGTATTGATGACATCATGTTACAGAACATCATGAAAGATGACCAGGCCGTACTTGTCAACTCACTGAGAATACTGACCATTCAATTGACACAAACCAACTCTCAAAAGCATACTTATAAAGTTCCAATTAAAATACTTAACACGACATCACTTTAAACAAAATAATCAAAATATCAAATATTTCATACCAGAATTGATCACTAGAAATGCTTCCCAAATAGGAATTTGAAAATTTATATCTCAACATTTTCAGGTTTGAGAATAATAATGCTGTTCCCATAGGATAATTGTAGAGCGGTATATTCTATGATTAGCACTTGAGGATGTTTTGTGTTACAATCTGCAGTTGTCCTAAAAGAATTGTCCATTGAGGAGAGTATTTTGATGCAAAAAAACAACTTTGAAAGAAACATACAGGAAACATTGGTGTATTATGCATAAAAAGAGACAAGTTTGAATTGAGATTATACAGCAGATGTGCGCGCTGGGGAAGTATGACTTAAATCACTATTTTCAGCTCTCTTTCTCATGAGTAGCTCTCTAATCTAGAGATTGGTTCTGCTATGTAGAGAATAATTTTCAACTGCAAAGTTTCCCTAGGGCCTGCTTTATGTCCTTGTTTCTAAGACTGTAGATAAAGGGGTTCAGCATGGGTGTGGCTACAGTGTACATTACTGAGGCGATTGCACTGGACCTGGAATTTTGAGCAGCAGCAGAACTGAGATAAACCCCAAGACCTGTACCATAGAACAAGGAAACCACAGAGAGGTGAGACCCACAAGTAGAAAAGGCTTTATACTTGCCCCCTGCTGATGAAATTTTCAAAATGGAGGACACAATCTTCGTGTAAGAGAAAAGAATCCCAGTGAGTGGGATAACACCCAGAAGCCCAGCTGCAAAATAAATTGCTAAAGTATTGAGGAATGTGTCAGAGCAAGCAAGTTGGACCACCTGGTTAAGTTCACAGAAAAAATGGGAGATTTCCAACTCTGTACAAAAGGACAGTCGCAAAACCATTAGCCCATGTAATAGAGCATCCAGCACACTCAATAACCAGGAGGCCAGAAGCAGGAGGCCGCAGAACCTTGGGTTCATGATGACCGTGTAGTGCAGTGGGTGACAGATGGCCACAAACCGGTCATAGGCCATCACTGTCAACAGGAAATGATCTAATCCTGTAAAAACCAGGAAAAGGTGCATCTGGGTGATGCAGTGTTCATAAGAAATAACTCTGTTCTGCATCTGGATGTTGAACAGCATCTTTGGGACTGTGGTGGAGGTTAAACAGATGTCTGTAAAGGAGAGGTTGGAAAGGAAGAAGTACATGGGTGTGTGGAGGTGGTTGTCCTTGATGATGGTCAGGATGATGAGCAGGTTCCCAGTGAAGGTGACCAAGTACATAGACAGGAACAGTCCGAAAAGTAAGGATTGCAGCTCTGCCTCTTCTGAGAGCCCAAGAAGGATGAATTTTTGAAAATGTGTGTGGTTTCTTGGTTCCATGTAGCTGAAGAAACTACTGGAAAAGAAAAGAGCAATGCAAGCTTAGTTATAAGAATTTAACACCGGTTTCACAGCTATGTTGTATATTCTATTCTAGCATGTAAGTAATTTCCAATATAATAATAAGTTGGGAATGTCACAAGTCCTGAATGCTCAGTCATTTGATAACACACCTGACTAGCCTTCCTTTCTTCAAATTACATCTTTTTTAAAAAATTAATATAAATTCTACCACTTCCAGGAATCTTTGTTTTCTTCATTCAGCAAATGTGTTGGACTAATTATTGTTTCCAAAGTGTTCTCTTTTTTAAAAATCATTTTTGGGTCCCTGTACAGCTCTTATCACAATGCATACATCCATCTATTGTGTCAAGTATATTTGTACATAGGTTGCCATTATCATTATCTTTTTAAAATCATTTTATAGGGGGATCATACAACTCTTATCACAATCCATACATACATCCATTGTGTGTCAAGCACCTTTGTACATTTGTTACTTTCATCATGCTCAAAACATTTGCTTTCTACTTGAGCCCTTGGTATCAACGTCAAATATTCTGGAAGTCACTGAATACTGCAATAAAATTTTTAAACCATTGCCCTTATTTGATGAGTAGTAAGTGCAGTATTTCAAAGCTAATGAGAAGTCAGTTGAGTTGTACCTACTGACATCTCCTCATCCAGAAGAAAGATGTAAATTGAAAGACACATGAAAAAAACGAGGCAAAAAGACTGATGGAGCTTGCCAACATCAATCTCCACAACTGTGGATCTGAAGAACTAGATGGTGCTGGTCTACAAATATCATCTGCTCTGAACAAGTTCGGGTTAGAACATCTTAGACAGAATGGGTTAGAGGTCAGGGAGTTTGCAGAACAAAACTCAAAATCATACAAAACACCAGGCTTACTGGCCAAGAGGGACTGGTGGAACCCCAAAGACGATAGAGCCCTTATCCTTCCAGTCTAGAACTGAACCCACATCCAGCTATAATAATTAAATAGTTAAGATAAACAGGGCAGCAATTGCTCAAGAACAAAGTTCAGAGGTACAGTAAAGAAGACATGGACACAGGAAATATAGGGTGAAAGTGGGATTGTAAGAGATGAGTTGAATCAGAATGTTTATGTATGACTGAATGCATAACTATGACCTGTTCTGTAAACCTTCATCAAATTCATAAAAAATTGCATATCTCTTCCCTCAAATGTTCTTCTAGGATATATATGTATTGAAGGTAGAGGGTGAATCCCTTACCCTCACACTCACATCAACTTGATGACAACTCATATCGACCCTGTGGGACAAGGTAGAACTGCCCCTGTAGGTTTCCAAGATTATAACTCTACATGAGTAGAAAGCCCAACCCTTCTACTGAAGAGAGGCTGGTGGTTTTGACCTGCTGACCTTGCATGTAGCAGCCCAAAGAGTACCCCTTGTGCCACCAGGGGGGCAGTAGACTATTAATAATAAGTAAATGATTTATAATTATTGCCTTGATGAAATAAAGTAAAGTAGAGCAGTAGCAACAAAAGTTGAAGACCCTCAGTGAGATGGATTGATACAGTGGCTGCAAAAATGTGTCCTCGGACATAACAATGTGACCATGGTGCAGGATTGGGTGGACTTTCCTATTGTCCTATTCATGTCGCTAGGAGTCACAACAACAAAAAGCTATACCGTTTATCAGAGATGCTTTGTTATAGAACAAAGCCCACTGCTTGAATCAATGCTGACTCATTGCGACCCTCCTGCCGGTTTCTGAAACTGAAACTGTTTAAGGGAATAGGCAGCCCTGTCTTACTCCCACGGAGCTGCTGGCGGTTTTGAGCTGCCAACCATGCAGACCTCAGACCAGCCCATGACCTCTACTGCACCAGGGCTCCGCTTCATTGTATAGTCCTCTTTAGTAAGGAGGCTTTGAATAGAAAATCAGAAGATATCTAGGACGCCAGTCAAACAAAAAATGTGAAAACATTTTAGAAAAGATATAAGTAGTGCAAAGTCCTTGGTACAAGAATATTGCTCACGTGTTCTGGCAATAACAAGGAGGACGGTATGGGTGAGGGCAACAAGGAAGCTGGATTGACGTTACAGTTAGGGGCAGAGGAAAAACAAGGATCTGATGATCATGATGCCACGGAAGACACCATGACATGGGGCCTTAGAGTTCAATGTGTATTCTTACATGTAATATTGTATCACATCACATCACAATACAGTGGATGTTACTTGATTAAGATTACTTTGCATTACATTATTATATTATTCTGAGTCCTGGTGGGATGAATGGTCAAGCACTTGATTGGTACCAGAAAGGTTGCCAGTTGCAGCCAAATCAGAGGAGCCTCAGAGAAAAGCCTACTGATGAGCATTCCATGAAATGGACTTTCTCTCCTATTTGGCATAACATTTGAATGTTCTGATTATAGATACAACTTAAGATGTTTGCTTAAGATATTTGATCAATAGTTGTCTCATTCAGTCATATCTTCTCCTACCCCCTCCACTTTCAACCATAATGTTGAATTATGCACCTCTGGCTGAGCTGATCCAGCAGGGAAACACACTCTACAAATGAGCCAATCCGTTTTGCCCTGCTCTGAGAACTGAATTGCATAACTCAGGGATTCCGATGGATAGTCATGGTTGTGGGGATATCAAGGACCAGTCAGCCCTGTCGCAGAGACCCTTTGTATTGAAATTCAACCATGTAATAGAGAAAGAAAGAAAGCTAGTGTACTGAGAGGAAAAGTGATACAGACAAAAAGAGAAGAGAGGAGATTATTAAAAGATAGGAAAGGATCACAGTAAAGAAGATAGCAGCCTCACAATCCCTACTTCTACAGCTCCCAATACCCAGAGCAGTAATATAACTAGATCAATATGTCAAACTTTAAGACATGAAAGAATTCCTTTACTCATATTATAAAGATACTATTCAAAAATCAATAAACGATGAAAATATCTATAGGAAAAAATAGAGGAGAATACAAAAGAAGATTTCAACTATTTTTTTCTCAAAATTCAATGTGTTTGGAAGACATTTTTGGTAAAAGGACAATAATTGTTTAACATATTAGAGAAATGCTAATGGATTCTATCAACTTTTAAGAAAGTAAAGAAGTTAATCCTGTACAATCTATTCCAGAAAATAAGCATAGGGAACATTTCCAAACTTATTCTGTGAAGTGAGCATTAGTGTCATATCAAAACCAGATACAGAAATTGTAGCAAAACTTCAGATCAACATCACTCATGAACATAAATGAAAATATACTCAGCAAAATACTAGCAAATCAAATCAAAAATCACATGAAAATAATTGTAAACTTCAACTACTAGGAGTTGTTTCAGGAATTAAAGACTGGTTCAAGATTTGAAATTCAGATTATGTAATATATTACATCAGCTACATAAAAAATAATCATATCATATCAACTGAAGCACAATAAGCATTCGGTAAAATT